TCCAGCCAGTTTGGGCCAGATACCTTTTCCCACCTTGTTTTCCCATTTCTCCTCACATCTTTATTCAAGCTCAAAAGTTGTGTACGTATTCCACTTCTATCTCTGATTGTTCCAAATAGTTTTAACAGTGAGACATTTAATGGGAGAAAAAAGACACATAAAAAACTATAAATTTGTTTTTTATTAATGAATCAATCAACCACAACAATGACACTTCATTCTAAAATAAAAGTTTTCAAAATTGTGTTTTTACATTTTCTGCAGGATGTTTTAATCGCAGATGCATTTGAAGGCTTAGACTTAGACTTAGACTTTATTGATCTTTATTGAAGGCAAAGACCTCCAAAATGGATGACTTCTTCAAAGTAGATTTTCTGCTGCGTGTAAAGACAGAAAAAGAAAAGAAGCAGCGCTCCACTGAGCAAATCAACACGTTTTCTCATCAGAGTTGATTGTCACTGATGTCAGCAGAAAGCACCCAGCTGACATTTATCAGCATCTCTGGGAAACACAGAAGTTTCAAACTCACCAGGAAGAGGAAAAAGAGGGCTCTGGATCTTTTTTGTTTCACAGAAACAGAAACTTTCACGACTTTTAACCCTGTAATGCCAAATGTGTCATATTTGATTCATACGGTTTCTGAAATGTTTTGCGTCTGACACCTTTTGCATAATTTAATGGTAAAAACTTTGCTCAAAATCCTATTGTTCACAATCAGATACACCTGATAACAGGGGGCAGAAAACTACACGAAATGTAATCTTGACTTATCGCATAGTAATAAATTATTAATATAAAAAATGTATAACTGTTTTTTTCTTTTTACATATTTTGTTAAAAGGCCAAATAAGGAATTCAATAAAAAAAAAGGGAATTTCTTTTTTGTTTTATTCTTGGATCAGGCTTTAAAGGGTTAAGAATTCTGGAGTTAGATTGTTTCCTCTGATTCTTGAAAAAAAAGTTACAGAACTTCTTGGGAAAAAAAAATCAACTGTAAAGAAAATTTGCCTTTCTCCTCAAATTTGGCTCTTTCTTAAAAATTTGGACTGGAAAGCTGATGATGGACTCCAGATATGTAACATGTCTGGAAGGGAAAAGGGAGAAATCCAACGATCTGATGAAGCACAGCTGCTCACACAGACAGAAAGAGAATAAATAAAAAAAAGAGAAAGAGATGGGAATGAAGCAGCAAATAAATAAAAAAAGCTATGCAAAATTTCCCTCCACGGTTGTTTTCACCCAGACGGTTAATCCGAGCGTGGAGATCCGAATCTTCACGGCTGTTTTTCAGCTCAACCTTCGAGACAATAAAAGCCAAACAGATGCTAACAGACTTTTATCCCAAGAGCAAACCAGGTGAGAAAAATGCAGAAAAATGGGCGTTTCCTCCTCTGGTCAGAGTCTGAGGGGAGGCTAAATGGCACAAAGGTCCACTCACCCTGCTGAAAAAATAAATGTGCTAAGTGTACTAAAATGTAGCATACTTTTGGGTACCCACTTTTTTAAATTAGCATTTAATTCGGACTAGGGGTCTCTTAGGTTTCCTCCTTCTGTCTGCTCCTTTCTACGCATTTTTAGTTGTTTCTGTATGTTTTGTATGTTTTTTGTGTTGTTTTATGGCTTTGTTGTAAAGCACTTTGAGTACCATTTGGGTATTGTAAAGGGCTATACAAATAAACTTGATTGATTGATTGATTTAAGTGTGTTTATGATTAGTTAACTTGAAGCATGCTATTTTGGAACAACTAATTTTCTACTAAATATATTTAATTGTAATTTAATTGTGGAAAAGCTCAACTTGAAGTGTACTTAGTGTACTTGGATGTGCTAAAGTGGAACAACTTTAAGTATATTTAGTATACTTTAAGTATATGAGTTTATATGTACTAATATGTGCTTAATTAGTCAAATTAAAGTATACTTTGATTGTATTATAACTACATTAAAAATTATTTGTTAGTGTCTTAAAAATATATAAGCTTTATACTTTTAATATATCCTTAGTATGGTAATAATATCCTTATTTACACTGTTGGCTTATTCCAATTACTAAAAAAGTATACTTTGCAGTTAATAGTCAATATACTTTATCATTACTTCACCCACAATGATGTCAGCTACTTTTTGTGGTGTTTTTCTCCGAGTAAACACGGCTATTACAGTTTAATAAATCCCTTCTGTCACAGGAATAATGGAGTTTTAGTACATCTGGAGGAGTTAATGGACGGGACAAATACATTCTCACATGCTTTTTACATAATGCACGAGGTATTTCCTAAAGCGGGCCGTGTGTCCGTTACATAACACGCTTATGTAACCTTCTGAAGAATTAGGAGTGCTGATTTATTTATTTATTTTTTGTGGTTTCAGCGTACAGTGCTTGAATTGAGATGAACGTGTTGTTTCTTTGTGTTTTTGGACCCTGATTTGGATCAGGAGGGAAAACTGTGGCTGCGCTTTGCAGTGAAAGCATCACTTTGTCGGCAGATCTGCTGGACTGGACTGGGCTGGGTTAAACTAAACTAAACTAAACTAAACTAAACTAAACTAAACTAAACTAAACTAAACTAAACTAAACTGGACTAGTCTGGACTGGACTGGACTGGACTTGACTGGACTAGACTGGACTAGACTGGACTGGACTGGACTGGACTAAACTAGACTAGACTGAACTGAACAGACTGGGTTAGACAAAACTAGACTAGATTAGACTGGACTGGGCTGAACTGGGCTAGACTGGACTAGACTAGACTGGGCTGGACTGGAAAGACTGGAATGGACTAGGCTGAGCTGGG